TATTTTCTCACAGTTTAGGAGGCTAGAAGTATGAATTCAGAGCGCTGGCTCTAGGGGAAGTCTTTCTCTGTCTGTCAGTTCTGGAGGAAGGTCTTCGTCTCTTTAGCCTCCGTTTCTCGGTTCCTTGGAGATCTCCATGTATCCCAGCATGTATCTTACCCTATCTCTCCTCTGCTGGCTTGTTTAATTTACTTCATATCTCAAAAGAGATTGACTGAAGATATGCCCTACACTAATCCTGCCTCATTGACGTAACAAAGACAACCCATTCCCAACTGCGATTATAACCACAGGCATAGAGGTTAGGATTTAAAACACGCATTCTAGGGGGACACAATTCAACCCATCACTTTGACAGGAAGTGTCAGTGTGAAAAGATAGCAGGTGGGAGAAGCCGCTGCGTCACTGAGAGATCTAGATTGGACCACACTCCCCTGTCTCTCTAGTTAACCGGAAGGCGTCTGGGGGAGTAGAAGCCAAGCCTCCCGTAGACGGGCAGTCGGGAAATCAGGGCATTCCATCTACGCCAGAAAAACAAAGTCTGTTTCTTTTTAATCTCTAGAGAACATGGTGCTATTAACATGGTTACTTTGAGACTCTGCAAAATTATCTCTTCATTACAAATGACCCATCATTGCTAGGTACAAAGCACCCTATTGTCTGAGGATTTTTCAAATATATATTGCTTTTCCAGGGTGGAAGCTAGTCATAATTCATCTATGTCTCTATGCATCTATTTATCTATATACCTATACTGGAGCCTTGGGGGTGCAGTGGTTAAGAGATACGGCTGCTAACCAAAAGGTCGGCAGTTTGAATCCACCAGCTGCTCCTTGGAAACCCTATGGGGCAGTTCTACTCATCCTATAGGGTTGCTATAAGTCAGAATCAACTTGACAGCAACGAGTTTGGTTTTTTTGGTTTTATACCTATACCCGGAATCCCTGGGTGGTGCAAACAGTTAATGTGCTTGGCTGCTAACCATAAGGTTGGAAGAGGTTCAAGTCCACCCAGAGGTGCCTTGGAAGAAAGGCCTGGTGATCTCCTTCGAAAAAAAAATCAGCCATTGCAAACCCTATGGAGCACAGTTCTACTCTGACATGCGTGGGCTCGCCACGAGTCACAATCAGCTCGACGGCAACTGGTGTTACCTATCCCTGTCCCTGTATCTGTGTCATGTTTTTTCTCGCGGAAATAGAAGGCCAAGCGCTATCAGAAATTATATCGGGCAGTTTACACATACTACCTCCAAACCCTGGTGGTGCAGTGGTTAAGCGGTTGGCTACCAACCAAAGGGCTGGCAGTTCGAATCCACCAGCCGCTCCTTGGAAACGCTATGGGCCAGTTCTACTCTGTCCTGTAGTGTCGCTACGAGTCGGAATCGGCTTGACAGCAACAAGATATATACCTCTAATCCTTACAACATTCCTTTGGGTAGGAATTAGCTCCACTTTACAGCTGAGGCTCAGGGAGGTTACATAACTTGCCCAAGGCGGCATGGTAATCAGTGACCCAGCTAGGAAATGAACCCAGATGTTTGCACTCCAGACCAAAGTCCAGGCTGTGTGCTGAATGGCCGGGTCTTCTTCCTCCCACCAGGCTGTGTTCAGGTGCATGGCAGCGGGTGGGAGGCGGGGCTGTGTCTCTGCCTGCCTAACAGAGCTGCTCAGCAGCCATTCCAGCACTGACTTTCAAAGGCACCAACGGGTCCTGGTCATTCTAACTAAAAATATCATGGACTCTGGTGTCCCTTTCCCTGACACCACCAATGCAAGGGCAACAACTCATGGGCCAACTGAACATCACTGTTTGGAGAAAAACCTGCCTGAATCTATTGATGTCGACATCTAGCTACGTCATTTTCAAAGAATTATCCACAAAAGCCGATTAGTCTTACCCTATCATGCTTATCTCAGTGTATCCTAAAAAATACTTCCAGAAACTGGTTGTAGCTACCTGGTGCGAGATGTCCTGTGCTGAACAGGTAATAAAGGAAGATGAATGAGCCTTCCAGTTCAGTGTTTGCCTTTGGAAATGGAGCCTTGAGTCATTAGGAACAATAGTTCTGAGGACCACACTTGTGCATGGATGAACGTGTTTGATTTCTTCACTTTTATGCCGAAGTTGCATTTTGCTACAGAAGTGAGATACCTGAGGCTCTACATTTCCAGGCAGCCACAGTGTTTCTCAGGTGTGCGGAGTCAGTGTTCCGTCTGTAGGCTGCCTCCTGGGCTGAGTTTCAGTGCACCGAGCCCGATGCCTGGCACGCCTGAGAAGGCCTCGTCCAAGGCTGACTGCTTCTGGCCGACGGCTCTGCAGGCACCTTCTCTCTCTCTCTCTGCTGAATGAAAAAGTGCATATCGCTTGTTTTTTTTTTTTTTTTTTTAGTCTCAATAAAAGTGAGTGAGTGGAGGTATAAAACCCCACCAAACGAGTGGGGGTAGGCAATGGAGAGGAAGAATTACTAAGAAAAAAAAATTGATTTGTTACAAGAGGCAATCATTAAGATGCATGTAAGTCAGTCTCAAAAATTAATAAAAGCCCTCAACAAACCTCTGGTCATGTTTTATTAACAGCACTCCATCCTATGTCACCATTCAAAGGGACAATTTTTTGGCTGTGTTTGCAAAGTTACATTTCATACATAACCCTGCCCCCGTCGAACCTCAAGGGCCCCTCACCTCCCCCACCCAAATACAAACTGGAAAGCACCTGTGAGCCCAGGTCTCAAGTGGGCCAGAAGCATTGACCGCACTTACAGCGGAGCTTCATACGGGGCTGCAAACATGTCCTAGCGTAACTGGAATATAGATTCAACAACTGGATTGGACGTCAAAGCGTGTTATTCCGCACAGCTGAGCAGGGCACTGCTGGACTGGCGTTTCTTCTCCATGACAAACACCTATTAAACAGTCAGCATAAACGCTTCCCTCACCACCTCTGACATCACCCTCAGGGCAGGCACACACACAATTGCGTATGAAAATCATAGTTTTATTGTCCATACAAGTGAAGGCTTAACGCGGGCTCCTGCTTCCGTCCGAGCTGTATAAAGAAGCAATTCTTCTCTCAGAACAAATAAGCACAGTACGCTATTGTAATCTAAGCAACAGGCACTATTTATGTATCGGAAAGCCTTGCTCTCAACAGGGCTAACAGTCCAAGGGCTCAGAAGCTGCTATTGTAGCAGCTGTAGAAGTCACAAATAACGAGAGGCCCAGAGCAGCCGAGACCACTGACCGGGCCTCCAGTGGAAGCCTCCCTCTGAGGCCAGCTTTCTCCTGGCTAGTTGAGCAAGCATGACTCGTAGGTGGGGACCATGTACTTAATGTTGATGAAAGCATCCTCTCCTCCGTAGCGCTCAAAGGCCTCCAGCGTCTCCTGGATCAGGTCTCCGATGTTCTCCCTCTTCTGCTGGCTGTAGTCGATGCCGTCTCCGGAGTTCACTGGTTCGGGCAAACACACAAAGACGCCAGTTATTCCTCTGCCATTCCCCCAAAAGCCCTACGCGTCAGTCTAGTCATCTTCTCTGAATGCTTGGTAGGAGACACGAACATTTAACGGTTTTATGTGATCATGCAAAACAATATACAAAAACACAAAGTCCCCCATTGAAGCGGATGAAAATTAACCTAAAGTAAACAAATACCAGAGTAAAGGAAAGGGAGCGAATCGCCGTTACAATACAGATTACCAGTAAGGGAGTCTCTTTCTCACCTCCGACTATGAACTAAAGAGTGCTCTTTAGACTTGGTTTCTTCAAAGTCACAGCCTGGCATATTCAGAAGAAACGGCCTACGGTCAGATTAGGCCGTTGGCCCTATGTGACTTAAAATGGATAAAGCTGATTTGTTGTCAGGAGGGATCAGTCCCTGGAGAAGGACATCATGCTTGGTAAAGTAGAGGGTCAGCGAAAAAGAGGAGGACCCTCAATGAGATGGTTTGACACAGTGGCTGCAACAGTGGGCTCAAGCATAACAAGAATTGTGAGGATGACGCAGGACCAGGCAGTGTTTCGTTCGTTCTGTGGTGCTTAGGGTCACTATGAGTCGGAACCGACTCAACGGCACCTAACAACAACAACGTATCTGACTTAGCTCACATCTGTGTCTGTTGCTTTTGTAGCTGTGTAGATGTGGCGGGCTCATTCTCCTGTAAGGATCAGAAATTCAAGTGTTCAGTTGTCTGGAATTATTTACACCCCGTCCAGATGCAGGTGGGACTGGGGGAGGAAACAGTATTTCCTGCAGAGTCTGCTCCTGATTGATAACTGAGGGTGTGGATATCAGTGATTTCTTAGGCCTTCCTAGGAGGCCGTGCCACTGCTGGTTTTGGACTCTGGCACCTAAGTCCAGAAAGGCAGGCCAGCCCATGGGGAGCCTGGGAGCTCATGTGGGCCCCTGGCATAGCCCCATCTGAGGTCTCACAGGGCCTGGAAGGGACCACTGCCGATCAGACCACATGCAGGATGGAGTCCCTCGGAATGGCCTTTGAAGGCCTTGGGAGCCTATGTCTGAGATTCTGTATTATACACCATGATATGGATTGAATTGTGTTCCCCCAGATAGGTGCTGGAATCCTAACCTCCATATCTGTGGATGTGATCTAATGTAATGTAATGCAATCAGTTCCCATAATGCAATCTAATGTTATGCAATCAATCAGTTGATTGGGGTGGATCATACACCTAACCACATCTGAGTACAGAAAGAGCAGAGTAGACACCGAGACATGCAGGCAGACACAGAGGGAAGACAGGTGCCATCTGATGATGGAGGCAGATGCATCTACAAGCTCAGGAATGCCCAGGACTGCCAGATACCAGATTTTGAAATAGACAAAGAAGGACCACCCACTAGAGCCACACTCTGAATTCAGTCTTCTAGTCTCCTGAACTGTGAGAAAATAAATTTCTGTTCTTTAAAGTCACCCACTTGAGGTGCTCCTGACAGGCAGCTCTAGGAAACCAGGACGCACAGTGAACTCAATCCCAACCATTTGCATAAGGAAGATCTGACTGCATCCCGCCTCTGAGATGTCTAGAGTGATTACTCAAGTGTGTGGGAGTCTGAGACAAACAGGAGGCCTAGTGCTTCAATCCAGAGTGTAAAATTCTCACAATTTTTTCTCTAATTATAGTCATTATATGTTTTCATGTTGTATTTCACTCACTGACTTCCAACGGCGTCAACAACATTCATTCCTCAGGCAAGCAAGTCATTATTATGCCTCTGTAAGTGGCTGAACGTCACCGCCATCTTACATCTCTGAGGACAGGGATGCACGCAGATGGGCTGAGAAAGGCTGGCGTGGAATGAGGACTGGAGCTCAAGTCACAGGATGCCACAGGGCAGGCACCTTTGGATCAACACTTGATACAGTGTTTATTTTAGTCATCATTCAGATATAGCCCCCAAATGTTTACCGTGTTTGGATATGGAAATAGCAGCAGGAGATGTGATGTTTAAACCTTTTCCCCTCAGTTATTCTGGACATCTTTAGATTACGAGTCATACAACCGTAGTATGTATCAATTCTTCACAAGAAATGAAGAAAAAGGTTCACAAAGCCACTGCAATTAGGTGGTCTTTTCTTCCTCATCGTGGACACCTTTCTGCTCTCACATAGAGAACTGGATTTAAGTTCATTTAAAGTTTGATTTACATGGTAGTCGATCATCCAGAATGTCCAAATATGCTAGCTCTGTACAACAAACGAGAGAAGATGTTTGAACAACAGGGTTCTTGCCCTGTTGTTTTTGAGGAAAACAACAAATTTTTTTTTAACAATATACACAAATGCAGATTTAAGGCGAGCAGACTCTGTCTCTAAAGGCTTAAATATGGCCTGAGTGGGGTTGGCGCCTTCGGAAGACAACATGGCGCAGCTTTCCTAGAGGAGAAGGTCTCCGAGTTGATTCAAGAGAGAAGGGGGAGGACGTGAGGGTGCATGGATTGTCTACATTTGTTACAGGTGCACAGAAAAGATGTTAAGGAAGAAAGTCCAAAAAGGGGGCAGGAAAAAAAGCAACAAAGAGTCAGAAAACAGGGGCAGGAGGGAGAAGACTGCGGGGCAAGGGAGACAGAGTTGGGGGAAGCACCGATTAGGAATGATGTCCACTTCCCGGAGGGGAAGAGTGCCCAGTGAGTGTTTCTGGCTGACTTCGTGTGCCACCCCACATCACAGTCCTGGTAAACCCCTCATGGTCGTGAAAGAGGCGGGCTGGGAGAATGTGGCATCACCTGTTTGCACAGCACAGCGAAGCCACGGAGCAGACCCCTGGGAGCCACTGGGCGTGCAGCTGGTGATGACAATGCCACACTGGGACAGCTTTGACCCCGTTCCTGACGGACAAAGATACGTACAGTAATCACTAATAAATGCTGCCTTTTGTTGGCATATGAGCTAAAAGGGCAAGAACAGAGTACATCACGGGACAGACATAGTTCTGTGAAGGAGGCAGAGGGGGTGTGGAAAGTCTGCCCACAATAGAAAGCTTAACACACCCTGTTTTTCCCACTGCCTTCTAGAAGGCAACAGCGACAAGCAGCAATCTATTTCAATAGTAACCTATTCTTATTTTTTAAAAATATTTAACTGTAGGAGTAAGTAGACTACGTAGCGTTTTTGTTTCTTGACAGCAGATAACTCAAATGATAAAAGAACAGAAGCTGCTTATTCAAAAAGTGAGTTGGAGTTGGAATATTTTGTGGTTGCAGAATGTGTATCGTTGGGATAAAAAAAAGGGAACAAGAAAGGGGCACCCCCCCCTTATTTTGCAGGCTATCATGATGACAGCGCACGGGTTAGTGTCCAGCTCTGTTGAAAGGCAGGTGAGTAATGTGGACTGTATTTCAAAACTGCTATATTGTCAGCTTCTTTGAGAATCTGAAATTGAGGTGATTAGTTTGAGCTCACCATTGTGAATACATATGACACTGCTCGCAGACACAACTGAGAGAATAGGATGCTTTAAATAAAAACCAAGATAGTTATTTACAATTGTCAATTCTGATTAGGAAGATGACATTTTAATTTTGGAAGTAGGGAGTCTATTTCATGTCCAGCTTCGAGGAAGATACGCTGATGATGGAAAAGATATGTCTTATTTACAACCAAACATATGAAACTATAAGGAGGGTTTGAACCAGATTTTGTATTCTGAAGGGATCATACACAAGCAGAATAAAGAAGGGATTCCGTCCTTCTTCTGGAGATGCCCACATGCGGGAGGCATAGAACTACTGCGTAGAAGTTGTTCCTGGTTAAGAGTTAGTTTAAGTGTCTTTATCACTCCACATTGAATCTTCTTTGATTACATAAGTAGCATGTTTAAGCATGGTGACCTCGTGTGTGTCAGAGCTGAACTCGGCTCCACAGGGTTTTCAATGGCATGATAGTTCGGAAGTAGGTCGCCAGGCCTTTCTTCCGAGGTACCTCTGGGCGGACTTGAACCACCAAACTTTTGCTTAGCAGCCAAGCGCTTCCCTGTCGACTTGATGGTAACTGGTGTCCTTTTTGATGTTGTTTTGAAAATGTAGACTCTTTTCTATCTAAACCTCTTTGAACAACCGTCCTGAGATGGATGTGTATATACTCAGCTTCTTGTTCTCCGAGGCCACCCTCCTGGTGCGTAAATTCAGCTTGTAACTGTGAAGTGACTATCATAACACGTGTCACCAAGGGCCACTGTAAAGGGAAGTCACAGAAGACACACGTTTCACACAGGTATCCGCTGTTCAATGACAAGGCCGAGCAGCAGATGCGCGTAGTGGAGGATTCTGAGGAAATATTCTCTTGGCATCGTCATTTCCTTTTCTTTAGTTACTGCTATTACAGGAACACCCATGGAAGCAGCAGTCAAGAAATCAGATGACTCATTGCATCGGGCAAATCTACTGCAAGAGACCTCTTTACAGTGTTGGAAAGCAAAGATGTCACCTTGAGGACTAAGGTGCACCTGATCCAAGCCATGGTATTTTTAACTGCCTCATGTGGATGCAAAAGCTGGACAATGAATAAGCAAGACCGAAGAAGAATTGAGGCCTTTGAATCATGGTGCTGGTGAAGAATACTGAACATACCACGGGCTGCCAAAAGAACGAACAAGTCTATCTTGGGAAAAGTACAATCAGAACACTCCTTAGAAGCGAGGATGCCGAGATTTTGTCTCGCTTCCTTTGGACATGTTGTCAGGAGGGACCCGTCCCTTGGTAAAGTAGACGGTCAGCGAAAGAAAGGGAGACCCTCAATGAGAGGGACTGACACAGTGGCTACAACAGTGAGCTCAAACACAGCAAGGATAGTGAGGATGGGGCAGGACCGGCCAGTCTCCTTCTGCTGTACGTGGGGTCACTCTGAGTTCGAACCAACTTGACCACACCTAACAACAACAACGACAATTACAGGAAAGGGGAAAACAATCAAAGCCGAGGGAGGCGAAGCC